CCGCGTCATGTCACTCGGAATTAATATGTATTATTAGATATGAGGGTTTAATTAACGTTCTTGGAGCTTATGACGTAACGTATAGAGAAGAGGTAAATGGGTGCTTTAATATAATGGGTACGTGAGCGTAACAGCACACTATGGTTGCACGCAGCGGAACGAGAATGTAAGCCGCTTACGTTCCGAGCCCTGCATAACTTTTCACAGAAGCGAGTCTTGTCACCTGAAAATTATATGTGAATTCAAATAAGATTGCGAATTTTTAGACGATTTATTATTTCTGCTACATGTTTTTGTTTCTGATACATGTTTTGGTAAAATGCTTCTAACTGTTTGTACTTATTTTTATCCCTAAGGAGACTTTGTTTTTCAAAATAAATCTGTACCTACACATTGTCGAAAGATTGGCGCAATCGATTTTAAAACTTAAATTACTCGTATGTAACCTAGCTAATAATTGAAAGTTTAATATGGCAGATGATTCCTAAACACAATGCGTAGGTGCTATAAATGGTAACTTAGATACAAAGCTCTAAAACACATTGGGATGGACTAAACCGCACTATACAAATCGTAAGCAGCTTATCTGCAATCTGACTACAGGTGCACCCGCCGCACAAATTCCAGTTAAATCCGTCAAAATGGTTCAATAAAGACAGAAAGTGTTCACATTCAGACTGACATAAAACTATTTTTCATATGATCATAGTTTTTAAAGCTATTAAATATAATAACGATTGCTAGGCAAAATTGAATACTATGTTTTCGTAGTGCGTAACTTCTGTGGCGACTGACGACCAATGTAAATTCAATAATTATTGATTGAAGAATGAGATTTTAATTTATAAGAGCGTGATTAATGTACCCGTATTTATAAAGTTTCTAGCCCAAAAGCTGATATAATAATGTTTGAACCTAATTACTTTTTCTTACCTTATTACGTACTGAAAGAGCCATTGTTGAGAATATGACATTAAACGCATAAAGCCTAGTCACCGATGGCGACGAAACCGCACAATACAGACTTTAAGCCGCTTACCTGCATGTGCACAAGCTCTGCATAACTTTCCACTACAAAATCCGTCAAAATTCGCTAATAGACTACATTGTTCTACCACCGCCGCTTGAGGTGAACGCCCGATTATCCAGTTATGAACTGAAGTAAGAGGGTTTGGTTATAACCCCGGGGAGCTCTTTCGAGTGTTTACAAGCTTAAGTAAGTTCAGTTAATAATCACGGCAATTTTGTATCGACCGTCATCTTCGATACAGCATTGGCAAATAGCATAAACAAACCATTTAAAATGGAATCAAATAAGTACAAATATTTCTTTCGAGTAAGTCTTTTACAAATTTTCTGGTCTTAATTGATTACGAACACTTCGTTTGATTCGAATTATATCTGCCAATAATTTCGGTACGCTACGTTAATTGTGCGTTTGATTAATGCTAGCAGCATTTGAAGGAGACTGTCTTGAGGAAGTCGTTTGCACATCGCCGACTGCTTAGTCTGGTTCTATTGAAGCTTAATTTACTGCGAACGGGGTGTGGCCGAATAGAATGATGGGCATGAATTTGACAGTGGTTGTTAATTATATTCCTATCGGTCTTAATATACCTCCTTGCGGCACTCCTTAAAATTACGATTCAAGCCCCGTTTAAGGTACGCGGTTTGATGATGTCGTAAAAAGAAAATTTAAAGGTCGACAGATCTCTCCATCGGCAGGTGAAACATTTTATTGCGTGCTCGTGTTAGTATTTTATTGTAGAATAAAAGATACGGTAATAGCGTGTGATAGGCGAAACGTTTTATGTAGGAACCTTTCCTTTGTATTCTAAGTGCTTCAGGCTATATTCATGCAAAGTGTAGTAAAACGGGCGTATGAATAAATCACGTAATAAAGTGAGGAAAGCGTGAAAAATCGAAGAACTTACCAAAATATTATATCCTAAAACTGAAATTTAAAGTGCAGGAATTAGAATAACTTAAATTACTACTAGAAAATTGTTGGGTTGGTTTATACATAATAATCGCAAAGCAGTCGTATAAATGTGAATAGCCAACCGATAGTAAATCGTTTAAATCGATGATTCTCTCGATGTAGGGGAGCAAAATAATGGCGTGGTGTAACTGACGGCTCCTGAAGTTGCTCGTAATTAATACTCGGATCTCCCCAGTTTACAGGGTTTAGTCATGATTAAAAGGGTCCAAGAGTTTGATGTGTGGGGGAGAAAAATTGTCGGATAAGCTCGGATCTGAAGTGGAAATCCATATTTATTTTTACCCCTGGAAATACTTCATGAATATTGAATTGAAAAACAGAGCATCGTTAGATGGAGTGATCGTATAGCAGCTCTGCCAAACGAATTTACGCGGACTTTTATCTAAACCTGTCCAAGTGTCCACTGTTCAAATATTTCAAAACAGGCTTTACTTTACTACTAACTCTCTTTAAGAGCCTTTTTAACTATGCCCTAAAATGCTTCATAAGTTACAGGCTATAATTTAATAAACGCCCTATTTATAGATACGTCCGTGTAACTTTCCTCGTTTAAAGTTCACGGTGAAGACACGGTGGAAATAAGTTCGTCAACTTACGTTTCCCCACGTCTTTCTTATTTCACGTCAAACTCAAAATGAAGATAATGTCCACTTGATAAGTTGGAAAACTCATTCCCTTAGCTTGAAAGTTGGGATGCCCAGGGATGGACTAATATCCGTAACTTGATAACAAGTATTTTCACTCTTTTACTATACCACAAAAGAAATCGAGAAATTCTGCGAAATTATTTTGATGTGACGATTACAAAAAAAAAAATTGTAAAGACTTAAGTAAATAAAACAAGAGAATTAAGCATAATCATGTGTACTTTTGGTCCATGTCTACGCACGGATATTTAAAGGGAAACCCGTTTAAAGGGAACCTAGTTAACAAAACCCTGCTAAAATTGTACAAGCGCATTGATTTATGATAAGACACGCACGCTTTCTCCCACGCGTTTGCAGAATTAGGCAACGCAAAATATAATATTTCGAGCCAGTTTGCAATTATTTTGTTATACCTACTTACAACAAAATGAGGCTCAGTTCCATTCCCCAGATAATGGACACTATGTCAATGAAATTAGCTTTATCTTACATTTATAGTCACTTTTCCTTTGTTTCGGCTGTTATCTTACCCGCGTGAATTTATTTTCAAGTAATAACTTAAAAATAAATGTTACCTATTAAGATTAAAATAAATGTTTGTTTTGCATTGCTTAAATGTACACCATAATGCATTCATCCTAAAAAATAACCAAAAATGTTATCTCAAACTAAAAACTCATCCAAAAAAATTAGACAGAATAGGTGCTAAACACAATTTGAAATACTTCAGATATTTCAAATTAAAGGTTCGGCCAAACCAACGCGATCGACCGGCGTGCAGCGATGGCGATCAATGCATTTAGTCTGGTCGCCATCGCTTCACGCCGGCTGATCGCGGTGTGATCGCGTTGGTTTGTCCGAACCCTAAGACCATTGCCACGCTTTAGTTGGTAGTTACCTACTAATAATACAATAACTATTGTTACTGTACTCGGTGAGTTTAGAATACATAGATTTAACTGACCCAAATATTCAGAGCCAGTGTAATTGTGCGATCCGTTTACTGCGTCCCGTGCAATTGACACAGCCAGTTTGCTAGTCATACAGAAACATTGTGTTTAAATCGATTAATTTCCTTTGATGATAGAGGAGAATCCGATAATTTCATTGACTCGATACCGGAAGCAATGTAATTGTGTTTATACTGCCACGAGGGCGATTCCGATATTGAAAACTTCCAAAGTTCCGATTTCACATATCTGATGACTGTCAAAAGTAAATATCTCCAAGAATATTCATTGTGGAGAAGTGATATGATCCAAATTTCGAATTCCGTTGAAAAGTTCGAGTTAAAATTCCGAAAGTTAAATTCTCAGACGTCATTCTAACGTCGGTAGTAGTCCGAGACTGCTATGGCTTTGGCCCGCCAATCCTATGCAGGTTTCCCGGAATGGGAAACCTGTCGAGATTCCCGTTCGACCGTCCCTGTCTGACTTTCAAGCAATCGAGATCAAATCGAGGCCGACTCGCATTCTAGTTTTGTTTACGATTCTCCGATTGGAATTCAATCGCTTCATCGAGAATCTTGATGCAGTTTAATGTGACAGGTCCGTTCAATTCAACTGACATTGTAAGATTTAGACCATCTGAGATGTACGGACGACAGCACATCAGCTAAGCACTGCAGCATAATAATATATTATGTACTTTGTTGTATTTTGCAACAAAAAGTCTGATGTACTCCCGATTGTACATACATACATAATCATCAATTGGTTAAAGCTATTAAAATTGAACTTTACAAAAATGAAGATAACATAGCCTTTTTACACCATTAATTTTTAGCTCGGGTCAAAGCGTACGGTTATCCTATCCACGGTTTGTAAACAGGAATCTAATCTGAGTAATATTTTATGCCCATAAAACTTTCGGAGGGACCTCCGTGGGAGACAAGGGGTCGTGGGGATTACCCCGCAGTTACCTGCTTTTAATTCAGGCGGCTCCCTGTAGATTCATAATTTAACTTCGGACTAATACACTAGTTCGCTCATTACTCTCTTGTCGGATACATTAATCTATCGTTTGATGTTTTAATTGATACTCCAGGGTTGGATGTGAAATGAGATAGAAATGTATCTCCAAAATGACGAGTAAGGATGTGATTAAATCTAATTAATCCCCGAACACAAATTTGTTCAAAGAGGCGTATATTTAGTTGTCGATGCGAAAATAGTGTTGTCAATTTAAGTAGACTAATTAAAACAGTGAAACTAAACGAAGTTTACTAAACGAAGCAAAATTAAAACTTACGCAAGAATAATATTTTTTTATGGAACCGTTAAAACCACCGTTTTATAGCTGAATAAACAATCCACAAATCGCTTATACCAAACTTTTGTTTGCATTCGCAGTTTAATGTGCTGATGTAGAAAGTGCGGAGACTATCGTATTTAGTGTGAAAACAACTAGTGAAGAAGAAACTACAAAATGACTAGTTCTGGCGTTATATGGTTCACGATATGCATCGTCGTTGTGACCGCTGAAGCATCGATATACGACGACGACTACGATTCGTATACTAAGGTGTACGACTACAAAAATTCAGGTAAATTCAACACAAATTTTATTGTTACTCTTTTTATTGGGCTCTTCTATACTGGTCGTTATGCTTTCGATTGAAGCGAAAGGCGTCCTCTCAAATTGGATTTTGCATCGAACCCTTAGGGTAAGAGTCGTTACATCTAGATATTTGGAGCCTTTGCTATTTGATATTGTTCTAACATGTTCAAATGAATATTTGTTCTATCTGTTTTTGTTGAAAATATTTTGTCAGATTGTTTGACTACGAAATCTGTGTAGGCAGTCTAAACACGTTTATTTATTTTAACGTATAGAACATAAATGTAATTACAAAAGGCAAACTATCACGTGTAGTAATCTAGTTTATAGTGTATATAGGTTTTGATAGTGTGATAGTAGTAGTAAAGATTATAATATCTAGTAAAACATGATTAAAATGCATAATGTAATTGAACTATGATAAACTGTAGGTTTAATGTGGTCACTAGATAAGCTTTCAAATGGGTTTATGTTATTATTTTATTAGATAGTAACTAATAATTGTGTAAAAATCAATGTTTACACGATACTCATTAAATAAATGGGTAATAAGTTATCAGTTCTAATTAACAAACGGTAAAGTTATTCAGTTTCATAGCTGATTCTCACTGAACTTAGATTTACGTACTATTAGAACTTAACCGACAGTATCAAACTGCAACAGCCTTCAGGTTACGTCTTATTTGCAAATGCAAATGCCAGGATGCAAGTTCTGCTTGTGTAATATTCACCGCTCCAACAGAACATTATGATCGGCGATACATTTTATGGAAGCCATTAGAGTTGCTCGAAGAAGACTAGGTCGCAGTCACTACAAAGCTCGTAGTTACAGTACGGTAACGAATGCACTCATCTCTGGCTGAGTGCAGACCGGTAATACAATTTCCCGGTCCCCCCGCTATTGCCATCTTGGGGACAATTTGGCCTAATGCTTGCACCTAGCACTGGAGTGCATTGTTTAAAATATTCGTATAAGACCTTTATTACCTTCTTGTGAAGAAATGAAACTGCAAATGGTGGAATATTGTAAACTAAATTCTATAGAAAAGGTACAAGAGACTTCGGGCAATCTTACCTTAATAATAGAAGTGAAACTAATATGAACAACTAGGAGTTATGTAAAACGTTTAAGCAGAAATCTGTAACATTTCCGACGAAGCCGACGCTAACTTGTCCCAACATATTGTCACATGATACTTAAACAGTGATATTTGTAGAACACAATGTCTTTCACGCGAATTCTTATTTACATTTCCTTATATTTCACGTATTTCATGAAAACCAAGCGCCTACACGGAGCATCAAAGAAAATTCAGCGGGACACAAAAAACAGAGAGTTCGTTTTTACAGAGACGATAGTTACAAAGCTCTTTGAAACATAAAACTGTTATTCAGTCGTCGTTATTCCTTTGAACGGAATCCGCAAAAAACGGAACGCAAGAAGCAAAGAACTCGTGAATACGTATTTAACGCAGTGATTTGGAGCGTAATGAATAATAATCAGCTGGTTTTAGCTATGGCTTTATGGCTTCTGATTCGCAAGTAGAAATAACACTACATAAAACGACTATGAGCTACGTCATTATTGTACAGTCGACTGCACATCGTACTGTACATTTTTGATGCAAACTAGCACCTATTCCTAGGTACATAAGATGTTTAGTTTAGCTCGATGTGCCGATGTGTTTACTGTACATCCGTTGGCATAAAATGTGATGTTAGAGCTTATTTTATGTACTAACTGCGTGTACGGAGCTTAATGTGCTTTCCCCAACATAGTATTTAATTGAAATTTACTTGATGGAGAATTTATTTTAGAACGTGTATTTTCAGAATTCTGTCTCTAATTATTTTGTTGACTTTGAATCAGAAAAACAACAAGTTCTTAAGCGAAATTAAGCGGCTTATTTTAAAGCTACTCGACTTAGTCACGACTTAATGATTACGTATTACAAACGAAGCTTAAACGGCTAATTTCAAGCATCGATCGGGGTTTTTCATTGTTTCAATCTCAATAAATTAGGGCTAATTACAGGATTCTGCCATATTCTGTCAACGACTAAGTTTGAATCGTACCTACCTATTAAGCATTTTTTTTTAATTGGGCCTGTATAAGCCCAATTTAAATAATACGAGTANTTTGATGCAAACTAGCACCTATTCCTAAGTACATAAGATGTTTAGTTTAGCTCGATGTTCCGTTAACTGTACATCCGTTGGCATAAAATGTTATGTTAGAGCTTATTTTATGTACTAACTGCGTGTACGGAGCTTAATGTGCTTTCCCCAACATAGTATTTAATTGAAATTTACTTGACGGAGAATTTATTTTAGAACGTGTATTTTCAGAATTCTGTCTCTAATTATTTTGTTTACTTTGAATCAGAAAAACAACAAGTTCTTATGCAAAATAAGCGGCTTAGTTTAAAGCTACTAGACTTAGTCACGACTTAATGATTTAGGTTACGTATTATAGAACGAAGCTCAAAACACTCAAGCGACTTAATTTCAAGCATCGATCGGGGTTTTTCATTGTTTGAATCTCAATGAATTAGGGCTAATTACAGGATTCTGCCCTATTCTGTCAATGACTGATACTGAATCGTACCTACCAACTAAGCGTTTTTAAATTGGACCTATATTCGTATCTATGTCTTTTAATGATTGGGAGAAATCTGTAGTTAAATGAAAAGTGCCTACACAGCGCGACAGATTAGCAAGCTGAAGTGGCAATCTCAGCTCAACCGATGGGGGAAGGTTCTTAAGATCAAAAACCGAGGAATATTGTCAGCATAGTCTTAATCTGTCTAACGACACTATAGAGCAAAACGACACTAAACGGTATTATACGGAGTTTTAATTCTAATAGCAAGTGGTTCAAAGATAGACGCACATAATTATGTTCTAGATTCTAGAAAGTCTTGAATGACGAAAAATATCGGAGTTATTACGTTATTGGTTCATTTAAGTGTTTATATTAAACTAGTGGCCGCCCGCGACTTCGTACGCGTGGATCCCGTATTACCCCCTTAGGGGTGGAGTTTCGTAAAATTATTTCTTAGCGGATGCCTACGTCATAATATCTACCTGCATGCCAAATTTCAGCCCGATCCGTCCTGGTTTGGGCTGTGCGTTGATAGATCACTATGTCAGTCAGTCAGTCAGTAAGTCAGTTAGTGAGTCAGTCAGTCACCTTTGAGTTGAAAACTACTGAGCTAATTATTTTCTCAAATCTATTGTGGGCAATGTAGAGCCTATGATTTGATATGACTAGACTCTACTAGACGTTGTTCCATATAAATGAGACACCTAGGTATTTCTAGGTTTACAAAATAAGACATAGATTAGAATCATAAACGCTTATTGCGGCTTTTATATCTATCTATTACATACTACCGTAGAATGAGGTTACTTTGGCCAATTTTGAACTTTGAAGGTCCATATCTTTTAAATTTGTGGGTGTAAAAAAATACAAAAAAGTCTAATAATCGGTTTTTATAGTACTCTCGATTCGTGTAATAAAAAATGAAAAAATATAGCTCAATTTTGAGAAAAAAAATAAAAAGTATGTGATCAAAGCTAAAAGAAGAATGGGGTTACTTTGATACCCCCAGATTTTATTGCGTACCTAAATAGAAAGTAACCACATTTATAATACCAATAGATTTAAAAAAATCAAAATCTGCCAACGGGATAAATAGTATGTAGGTATATTATTATTTTCTTGAAGCCTTTTACGAATTTTCAGGCACGGGTAAGCTACGTTTAATTTCAAGCCAGTATAACCTGTGTATGGAAGTTAATTCTGCTGGTAGGCACAATAATTATCTTGTCTCAAATAGGGCTCGAGATAAGCGTAGATACTATAGTGTAGGTCTAGCGTTTAACTTATTCAGTGCCTGAGGTATAGGAGCGGCAGGGTAATTGTGTGACGGTCAAAAGTGAGCGACTTCAGACTTCAGATTTGTATGCCCTGTCACGTCATAACATGTCATTGTCACCTCTCCCGTTCCGCTTCAGGCACTGACTGAATTAATCTTAAATTAGACCTATATTGTGTACAGTGGCAGTTAACATTATACGGGGTGACTTTGTTATCAGTATCCAAATTTTTTTAATAAGCTCGTTAGAACAATTTGACAATACAACTTTATCGTAGCTAATTATTTTTATTTGTGGTATTTTTCGCAAAAAAAAAATATTGAAAGTCTAATCCGCGGGTGCCCATATCTTAAGTTTTAAAGGTTATTGCTTATTTTCGCTCACCATTATGTCTATTAAGCTTTGCAGTTAACTGTGTGTACGTATTTTTCCATGAATGAAGCAAATTTTCCACGTGAGTCAATTTGGAAACCGCGCGCAGCGAATGAAAATAATTAAATATGGAGAAAAAAGTTTTGTTTTCTTTACGTAAATCAATTAAGTTACTGATTCTGAGTCGATCCTGAGGATACTGATTCAAAAATCACCCTGTATAGGTAAACAAAAAAAAAACAGTAATCGTGTAAGTAATTATTTAATTAACTAATGTTTGGTATGCAATAACTGAAACAATCATCTTATTTAGCATAATATGCAGGTAACATAAACAGGTAGAGACGAATATAGAGCCTTAGCTGCTCGTTATTATCGTGTACAACAAACCAATAGATAAAAAAAAACATGTTTATAAAGACATTTTACAAAAAAAGAAAAACTTTTCTTATATAACAACTAACCTTTTCGACCCCTAATATACTTAAGGACGATGTCTCCATCGATAAATCTTGTTTGATATGTCGAGTTAAATGAGCAAGCCAGCACATCACTATCTAGTTAATTAATCCTCGTATATGGGCCCATTAGTCGAATGGTGTTCCGCCGGTGGCAATCAAGTCGTACTTGCGGGACGATAGACTGAATCACTAATCAACTGTGAGATCAATCTTAGAGAAAAATCGGACAGGGCGTTTCTTGCTTTAAGTCCTATTGGTGGATTTTCTTCATTTGGGAAATCTATATAAATAAAAATGAATTGATGTTCGTTAGTCTGATAAAAACTCGAGAACGGCTGGGCCGATTGAGCTTATTTTGGTTTCAAAATCTTTATCGTAGTCCAGGGTAGGACTAAACGGTGAGCAAGTACGCGCGCGATATTGTTTTTCTGTGACAGACAAAATTCCACGCGGGCGAAGCCGCGGGCGGAAAGCTAGTAATAAATAGAAATAAATGAATGCATTTGTTAATATTGCTCTACACGTGAGAAGTTGAAGTAAAACATGATTTCCAAGAAAGTTTATGTTGGTAATCTAATGACCTTTAGTTGCTCTATGATTCTTAAAAAGTTGCATTAGCTATGTATAGGTCTATTATTATTATTAGTCGAATGGTGTTCCGCCGGTGGCAATCAAGTCGTGGGACGATAGACTGAATCACTAATCAACTGTGAGATCAATCTTAGAGAAAAATCGGCTAAGGCGTGTCTCGCATCAAGTAGGTAATTCTGGATTCTTGGTAAACATAAGTAAATAGCAATCAAATGATTTGCATTTCTTTAACATTACTCTTGGGTACACATGGATAGTTAAAGAGAAATATTATGTTTCCAAGAAAATGCAAATTGAGAATTTCTTAAGTGACTTAGTTGCTATGAAATCTTAAGATGCCCTCTTTCTTGTGAACGAACTAAGTTCCATTACCTGGTATTACCTGGTATATGTACCTACGTGTTGTTATTGTTAAGATGCAAATTTCTGCCCGCGTGCTTTTCGGTTGTTTACTTTTTTACGCTCTGGGATATCTTGTAGAAAATATTTTTATGATTAAAACAAAGTGACATGGTTCACGTTTGGGCTTTAGCGATTACTTTTGTCTTTTTCAATTGTGAATGTGATTCAATTTTCACGTGACGCAAAAAGTTTCTATGACGTCTGTCTGACAGGTGTCACGTAATAACGGTTCCATACCGCCAGCGGGACCCTAAGCTGTACGTGATCCCACCCTGATCCCCACTGCCACATGAGTGGGTAAATCGAAGATACGTCGTTGGCTGATAAAACCGCTCTCGTGTCGTCTTTGCGGGAACAAAATCACTCTAACGTGAAATGGTGACAAAAATTGCCGTTCACGAAATTGCTTCGAGGCCCTCCGATTCGATGTTCATTGGCGAGTGTCATATTACATTCAATCATAATCTCGAGTTATACGGTGGTAAGTTTATTAACTGAGACCATGAGGAATTAAGAATCGTCTAGTTTCAAGATAAGTAGAAACCTTAACTTTTAAGTACATTTTGTTGCAGTATTACAGTCCCGTTGAAATCTTATTTTCCTTTTAAAATATATATGTATTAAATGTGTATCTTATTTCCATAATGAAAAAGATAACTATCACGCATGCAGAATAAGAAATCATCCGACTCAAATCGAAGTTCTAAATCGAAAATCTTCCTGTGACTGTGTCTTCTTTTATATTCATTCAAGCACCTATGCATAAATATATTATTATTAATTCTAGTTAGATACTATTTCCACGGTATAGTAGGAAAAATTATAATATTAATTTCTATCATGATCTCCTTAGTTTTATAAGGCTGCAGAATGTCGTAGCAATTATGTAAATGTATACTCCAGTTATAGTGGCGCCATAATTTTTGCATGAATAATTCCAACGTACGCCGGCCGCCCAGCACTAAAACTGCATGGTTAGCTACCGGGGAAACCTCACGTAAAACATTAATGAGAAAGTTAGCGCGATAATCGCCGGCTTCAAACAAGGATTGAAGCAAGATCCGACGAGAAGAAGCTCGCATTAACATTCCAGCGTAGAGGAGGCAATAATGTGGGTGTTACACGGTGAAGCGTTTCACTCGAGCAAATGGCCGCCCCGCCTCACGAGGGAATACCTTTTACACTACCCGCTCAGTTATTGTACCAGCCTTGTATTAGGCAACCCGACTGGCCCGCAATCCCAAAGTAAACGAGGGTCGCCGAGCAAAAGAAAATTTCAGAGTTCTTTTCCGCGCGTCTTAATATTCAATATCTACCGGTTCGATGCGATTTCTATTTACGTTAGAATTTGTGAAGTGTCTAATTCTGGCGGGGACATTGCCCCGTGGAGGGTAGGTACTACGAGGCACTGAGGAAAATTGACACATAACGTACAGGTATAAATATCGAAGGCATTCAGTAGGTACGTGAGTGCATTTCACAATTATGTCCCGCAAATAGGCATCGAGTAGGGTACACGTGTACCTATATATATGTCACCGTAAAATTGTGAATTCCGTCAGATTACAATCTAACGTAGTTAAATTACAATCTAACCTAACCTAACCCACTGTTAGTTTACAATCTAACGCGTTATATTATAAACTGACAGAGTTCACAATTTCACGTTGACATATATACCCTTCTTTTATTAAGCCACCAAGTTGTAGGAATGGTGGAGTAATCTGATGGTGCTCTCGAATTTATCGGCGACGCACTCGTTGAGTGAGGGCCACGTAGAGCGATATTATTCGAGGATGTGTTTTGTTTACAAATTGCCCTGCGGTGCGTGCTTGCCTCGGCTCGAACCACCTCAAGATAAAGCGGCTGCTGTCATTCCCCGATAATTTTCTTCAACCTCGTTTTATGTGCATGCTGATAGGTCTTTTCGAGCGCGAATTGCCTGATCCAATTTACGACTGCCCTCAATCGTCTGCCCGAAAGAATAATGGGTACTGTTTAGCAAATTGAATATGAATCTGCCTCCAGCGAATTTTATTTGAACTGCTTTAATCATGATTTGGATGTGTGTAAACGCTTTTAGCTAATAAATGTTGCTCAAGGTAAATACTATTTAATTTACGTGATGCCAGCGTTCTCAACATTGTACTCCGACATGTAATATTGCGCCCCGATATAAGTGAAGATTAAAGGCCTCCTAAAAGCGTCACCGTTTTCGTAGACACATCTTTCATATAAATTAAAAGAAGGAATTGGAGGTCTTTCCTCGAGTGACATCGTTCAACTTTCGCATCTACCACAAAAGCATTAAGAATAATTTTCCTCTGGTGTTTTGCGTTACCAAAATATTTATCTCTTAAATTGTGGCTGCTGAGAATGAATGAAAAATGTCCGTAGCGCGATTGTGTAACTAAACCTTTACATTATTAGTGGATTCGTTTATTTTGGCATTTATTTGTTAACAATTCCTCGCTTTCTTTTATTGTCCTGATTTATTCGTTCGTGAATTTATGGGTGAGCAGGAGAAAAATAATGTGCTGTTTTGATTCCCTACATATTTTTCATCACATTATCGCCTATTCCACATATCAACATCCATTTTTACAAAGAATGTATGAAATAAACAAAATTGTTGATTCCTTATAAAATAACAAGTATGATTCCAGACTATAGAAAACCATTTTGTAACTATCGGAAATAAATGGGCACGTGTAGGCAAGAATAATAATTGAAAGCAAGGTTTTTATTTATCTAATAATTCGTAACAAAAGAATATTTAAGTTGCTAAAGTAGCTGTATTTAGTTAGTGAATCAAAGAAAGTCTAAACATCGAACTTATTCCGTTCAATGTTTTAGGTAAATATTGTTCTAAAGTCTTGCTTCGGTATTTACCTACCAAAGAAATATTTGTTTCTACTTTTTGACTAAGAAATGTATTAACTTTCAATACAGAGCTATAAATGTGAGTGTATCAATAAATGTATATTTATGTAGGTAATACTGGTAATACCTAATAGTGACTTCAAATGAAACAATATCTATTTATTTCATTTATTTTTCTTATTACTTAATCCAACCCCTGACTGAAGCTTTTTTGTCTTAATTTTCCGAAACAGTCATAGTTTTTACAAAATTATTTATCTCATCTAGGAAATTGACTTTTCTTGCAAACGTAAAATTTAAAAGAATAGATCTACTAATGTTTTTTTTTCTTCCACAGAAAGTCGGACCTGCACATCATCAGAGTTCCGCTGCAAGACAGGACGATGTGTGCCGATGTCATGGCGTTGCGACAACGAGAAGGACTGTCCAGATGGGTCAGACGAAGAACCTGGAACTTGCAGTGAGTAATAGAAATCATATTTAAAGACAAAATTATACAAGAGTTCTTAATATGAAGGCCCAAAACCAATAATAATAATAATAATGCGAAACAGGTCTTGCCAGAACAAGTCTGTCTGAAGTGTTTCCAATTAAACAATGGGCAGCTCTAATTGCTCTTTCACCTTTTAGTCGACTGTTTTGTATAAGTATTAGGTATAATTCTACCGAAAGTCGAACCAATTTAGCTGACAAAGAGTACAGTTTACACAGGCACAATGAATGACGGAAAAGCATGGGCAGCAACTTAGGATAATTTGTATGAGTAAAATAAGCAAACAGTTCAGCGAAATTTACTTTCGGTCCTGCGCCCAGCCCCTTTGTGTTTAGATAGGTACAACAATGAAAAAACAAGGTCACAAGTGACAAAGCCAGATTTGAGGCTATGAAAACCGGACAATCTTCTAATCCAAAAAAGGGTTATCCCTGTAGGAGAAACACGCCCAGGGTACTTTTGGGTGAACGAGTGCTGCTCTGAAGTACGTACATGAGTTTTGTAGTGGTTTCGAATGACGAGGGTAATGTTTTATTAATCGTACGCAGGGTTCGCTGAAAAAGGATTAATGAGCTCATTCATAATAATGAGCATTGAAATTTTCCTCAATGGACCAGACAAAGGTATTTTATTGGCACGGGTATTTCGATAAAAGATAACCATACCGACTATATCTGTAAGTTCAACGAGTCCGAAGTTGCTGACAGACAGAAGGGTTGACGCATACCGTAGATAATATTTCAGGGGCATGGAACCTTAAAAATAATTATCTCACGATTTATGGGCAAAGTTGTAAGGTAGCACGCGTATTTCGTCCATAGCCAGGCTTCCGGGCAGATTAGAATCTTAATTACGGACGAAGTTTTTGGGCTTAATTTTATAATCTCTGCCCTCTTTTTTACTTGTTATGAATTGCCAATTTGCGTACATCAATTGGACGACTCCAGTCAATTGACTGGACTAAGCAAACTCTAGGTTCTAGGTAAAGTAAGAGAAGTAAAGATATCAATCGCTTGAAATTGAGATTTGGCGTAGGTATCAGATCAGATTTCCGAAACAAGTAATTATTACTTGTCTATCAATGGAATATTCAATATCTTGTTGGACGAGAATAAAATAGGCTATTCTATGGGTTTATCAGGATTTGCTTGTGTTCCTAGAATTTTCGGATCAAACAAATGAGTAGACAATATTGATTACCGCTTCAAGCTGTACGACCAAGCGTTTAACATCTGATATTAACACCAAAACCATATTGTATTTCTAGGAAAGTAGCTCGATACACGAGATGGTCTCAATTTCAGAATACTGCGTTAGCCTGAAAAAAAAAATGGCACGCTAAATCCCATGACGTTTGAATCTTGTCTTAATTTATTTGCCGACGTGACGTCAGGTCTGGGTGACGGAGAATACTTACCTAAGGGATAATAATGCGATGTGTTCAGGACGAGTGAACCGGCAAATTATGCCTGCAAAAGAAAGAGGGCTTGATTCCAATCGATTGGGAACATATGCCACGTATCTCGTGTTTGCAGCCTCCAATTTGTGCTTACAGTGAACTTCTTTTACTGATTTAAACGCGAAATTTATTGCAACGTTTCTTTTTAAGAAATTCGGGGTGAGATGGGTCTTCATTTATTATCACCTGTTCAACCTTTCAATGTTAGCAATGTGAAATTGATATTTGTCTACTCACGGACATTGCCCGCGGGCGGCGTGACCGGAGGGAGCGGCGAGCGTTCGGCGAACGAACGAGCAATGTTCGGTTTGCGAGCGAACATCGAAGAAGACGATCCTGACGCACTCTCTTCAACGACTTTGCACTAAACGGTCTCAATATCATTGTTAATTTATACCGAATAGACAATTAATTGTATACAGTCCACTCTTTCATTTAATTAACTTTCACTACACTCACTATCGAAGTAACAATATTCGATTGTTTTTTAACTCGTAGGTTATGTACGGCTGCGATTGTTAGCTCAAATTCCTTTGGGGGAAATCATGTTAGTGATGCGGTGCTTCTCACACTAAATAAAAGTCATAGCCGTTGATATTTAGTTGTCTAGTTTTCTTATTAAAATTTGGTACTTACTCGATTTCGAACTAGCTAAGTAACACCTAAATGTGAAAGGTAAAAAGGTGTATTTTATTTTTAAGTACTCAAGTTACGATTTTAAAGTTAACAATCAAGTGATTGTATTTCAAGATCAAGTGATTATAAAAAAGTTTTTATAAACTAATAACATGAAAAATATTTTCGGACTGATAAATCTCCATTGAATTTAAAATGAAATAGCTTGTTTTGGAAACAAATTGCGGGCACACCCATTAACAACGAAAACAAACAAAAAAACCTAAACCAACTTGCAATGTTAAAGCGAAAAGAGTATAAAGCCACATAACGGCTCGCTGTATCCTGGGAGGATATTCCCAAAAACGTTATCCGAGGTTTCGATATTTATATCCCTCTCACGCAAGGGCGGAGCGACAGTGACAGATATACAAGAAACTACGTAAACAACGTAACGGAATAGCCCTGGTTTTCCTGTTGTATATCATAGAAGGGTCGCAATAAATTGTGATTGTTATCGAGACCACTTTTCAATATAAGTGACCCGTGAAATTATAGGATGCTCCAACTTTTACGACTTTTCACGTGCTTGTAATATTACAGTTTTTCATTTACAAAATATTTCATCAATGGGAACCTTTTTCCTCCTTGATAAAGAAGGATAATATCGACTATAGAAAAAACCTTAATAATAATTACCTATACATTATTCACGGCATCATCAGTTCCAAATAAGGTGATATTCAGGCACACAAATATTTATATTGTGCGTGGAACGAAATTGCGATCTTTTATGCTGACTGAGTATTCAACCACATCGCCAATATAGTATAACAAAGTTTCTAGAAAAGATTTATGGATTACCAACTGCAAACTTTGCTAAGTGAATGCACCATCCAAACTTTAAGAGGAAGAGAGAAAGAATAAATTATTGCCCGACTTAATATTATTCAGGTGTGGTACAAACTTTCCTATGCTAGAGATTAATAACGATGGTCAACAGTATTAAGTCGAATGAATTATTTTGAAGGTTTGGCAAGTTACCAAAAGAATTACTTAACTAAGTTAAAAAGTTGCCTTGTCATGGAGTGACGCCGGAGTTTCTTTGAAATTCAAACTAAGACTAAAACAAGATTATCTGGAGGAGAAAAACTTTAGTATTCCTGCACAAAGTCATCAATCAAAGTATCGCTTATCGCTTAGTCTTGTTTAACAAGATGTTAATCACAAAGCGTTAATATTTATAACTACAGATTATTTTTTAAAAACTGGCCAAGTACCTACTAGTTACTCCATAGGAGACGTTACGAATTCGACAGTTTTCATCGTACTTATTACACGATTTCGTATGTAGATTGAAACATGAGTCATAATAAAATCTATTTTCTGTATGGCGTGTGCGTGAAATATGCCAGTAATGTGTCCAGGTAGACTAACCTGTGATACATAAGATTGTAGTATAGGTATTAGGTACCTACTTACCTATTTTAAAAGATTTTCAGGACTTGAGTATAATGTCAAAAATCATATTTCACTTTACGTTAGCGTATCGTTTTGTAAACGATTTTATTGAGGTGTAACATCGGTGTTCTTAGCACAAAAATAAACTTCTCCCCGACTTAATTTCTTGTTTTTCTCAAGCGAACATAAAAACTAAGTGGAAGTTAGCTCGGATTTATTTCGGGAAGGGGGTAACGGCAACCGCGAAGTCGCAACTTCGTGCACTGAGTGCTTCAGCGAGTCGACCCCACAAATGGAAAATCCTTTTTATTCGCTCGAAACACGCAATGTTTTGTCGCGAAACATTTTCACATAATCACTCATGTGGGACGACATGACTTGGCAACTTTTTGCTCTTGCTAATCTCGCACAAAGCTGAAGACACCTACGCCATTAGAGAGAGCGCTTTTGCATACGATATGTCGTTAATGGAAGCCATATCGTTAGAGTTTCAGTGGTGACATCAGTTCGCCGGTTTGCGGAAAATCCGTTAGCTTATGTACAGAATTTCCCTGTATGTGCTTGAGAAGTGATAGCCTGAATATTGAGTAGTGTTCACTATCCTACTTATCTACGAGTCCTTCTGATCATACTATGAAAGTTACAAAAATGTACGAGTAGTTTTTATCTGTATCTCGTGTTGATTTAATTATTAACAGGCTTTGAATGTTGAAAGGTTTTAAAACAAACATTTTGCTTGCAATATCGTAAGTACTTAATAAAGTATTTACAATTAGAAGGGTCTAACTTAATTTACTTATGCCTACTGTTACTGTCATCCAAATACTGGAAAAATTTAAGGCTGAGTTGCACCACCTAACTTTGACCGTAACTTTATAGATATTACTATCTTTGACCGTAACTTTATAGATACTTTTTATCGTTATCGATAACCGGTGTTTTTGTATGGATTTTGACATATTTTTGACGTTTGTTAAAGTCAAAGTAAGATGGTGCAACCAAGCCTAAGTCTATCGTTACAGTAATTATCCAATGATCGGAAACACTAACTACCCTGAAATTAAATTGCTACAGAGCTAGTCGTGTCCCGACTCGCAGACCCTCATAATTGGAGTTTATTTAATTTGTTACAAAGACGTGGAACAATATTAGACTGTAATAAGGACTGTTTAGTATCATTAATTACTCTTTAGTCTCGGCCGCGTTTAGCATTAGCATTTATTATTTTGCAGTCGTACTTTCGTAGCATACTAAATGAGTTTGTGTTGTCAGCTTGAGACGCCTTGAGCCAAGTTTGTACAGGCGACAGCAGATCAGAAGACACATTTTTGTTTCAAACTCGCTCTTATTCCAACTACATAATACCTCACATTGTTTAGCTTGGCGTGCTGTCGTCTGTACTGAGTACGGCCATTTTAATCTGCTAAACGGACTTAATTAGATCCGTTAAATATTTAAAAAGTCATTAGGATGTGATTGAATGGAATTAACATGCGACTGAAAGCACTGAAGCGTTTGATCGCTGAGTTATCTAACTGTATTGGATTAAATGCCTTTTAAGAGTTTTTATACTGCTTTTTACAATTTAATAACAATTCCTTCCTATTAAATGAGAAGCTGAATATCTACGCTTTTTCCGTGTTTACGTTTCGTCTTTCCTTTATGTGTAGGACTGAGAACAATTAATTTTTCTTTTAATTATAATTAATTACGTTTCAGAATCTAAGGTAACAGGGCCATTAAAATTATTGACCAAGTAGGCCAGGCTAAGTCGTAGGTTATAATTATTTATTCAATCTAGATAAAGTTGTATTAATAGCTACGGTATTATATCGACCACCTTGCCTGTCTGCATTTTATTAAATCTAAAGATAGGTAATTGCAGAGAAACTGGACTGATAGTTAAGGTTCGTTGACTTCGAAAGCAGGCTGCCCTATTAGATGATCTAACACGACACTAAACGTACCTATACATTTTCGGCGATAATCTTGAAGTGTCTTTGGGTTAAATTAACAAAATTATGTATTTCCAATAAAAAGTAGACAGGACTTGCGTCACAAATGACCCGTCTCCTTTAATCCAATGTAGAGCGCGGCAAAATGGAAATGTTGCATAAATGCATTCACTGCCTTAGCGAAAAAAAGACGATCGCCTTCCAGTTACAAATAACGTTTTTACAATGCAGCGAACCAACGCCAGTGTCCAGAACATAAATTCGTGTGCACCACGGGTCAGTGTATACCCGCTTCGTGGCATTGCGACGACACGCCGGACTGTCCGGACGGGTCGGATGAACACCAGTGCGGTAAGCCGGACACCATGCATGGTGGATATCGGCATGATATGGAGCGAGCATGCAAAGGGTCGTATGATAGGGGCTTTATAGCATCTTAATCGTGGCATACGAGATTGGACATTAAAAAATGTATCAAAACTAAAACTAAGGTCATTTTTTATGACGTCAAAAAAGTTCTGCGAATGTTAATTAAAGTAAAAATACTAAATTTATTTCCTGAAACTTCGATCCATATTGTTGATCGAAGTCCCGAATGTATTAAATTATTCTTACAACGACGGTTGGCTTCATTGGAAACTAATTTATGAGAGACAAAGAAACATCAGAAAATTAATGCCCTCCATAAAGCGTAAAAAATAAAAATATTTTGTACGTTTGCTGCTTCCCCTCGTCGTTAGGTGAGGAAATAATTTTCGTCAGTGATCAATCGTATTGTGTCTATAAATCAAAATGGATGTGGAACAAAATTGATCGAGTGCTCCGAACTTTATAGGGTATTGTAGGCTGTATATTGGTTCGAATTTAATACAGTTTAGGAATCAGAAATTAGTTTTTCATGTGTCATTTCTTGCAGGAGTATGTTCATAGTTTTAAGGTCTAAGATCGTGTGCATTATTCTGCATCGTACTTAGCATGAGCATGAATTGGGTTGACAGAAGTGGAGGCTTGCGGACCTGAGGAGTTCACGTGCCGAGGGAAACATGGCGAGTGTGTGCCTCTGACGTGGATGTGCGACGACAATCCTGACTGCTCGGACGGATCCGACGAAAAAGCATGCAGTAAGGGTTTGAACATAATAAAAAACAAAGGAACGTCGACATTTAAAGATACGCTCCCAAAACAAATTAGAGGGTGAATCTCGGCATTCCTTGACCGTAAACAAACTGTTAATGCTGGGTGATTATGCAAATTTCGCACGTAACCTACTGACATTAAAACCATTCCGCAGAAATATTGACGCTATGTTAAACAAATTGCGCATTTACATAATCACTCACTATTTGCTATACCTACCTATCTTCATCATCTGTTATAATGGGTCAGCATTCGTACTTAGGTAGTTTTATCGCTGTTACGATGGCCTACATAAAAGAGGAATGCACTCGAAATCGCCGGTTCATTGGCTTGTCATTACATTATCTAATTGCGCAATTGGCAACTTGAACCATGATATCTCATTATGAAAACTGCATGATGCCGACCTACATATTACTATCTTTTGTTTTAGTTATTATCTCCTTTATCTAGCACAAAGAGCACAAGTTCGCTTCAACAATACTTGTCCTATTTTAGAACTACGCAAAAGCTTAAACGCGGGTCAATTTCGGTCACGTCTCGAAAAATGTTTACTTTGTTAGTCCGCGGATGGAGTCGGTGTTTAACTATTCCTCTTCGGCGTCAGCGGTATCAATCAATCATGGGGGTGGATCCCGGGCAAACACTCTGTATTCTATCAACGGAGGGCTCATCCGTCTATAAATTCTTATCTGGCCTCACAGGTCCGAACGAGCCCGAGGCGTGACGTTGCGTGCACACTCCATCACCCGCGCTTTTCTTCCGGGCCGCGTTACCATGATTATGTCATAATTTATCTCATTATTCGGCACTGTCGAACTTTTTCCGATGTTTCAAGGCCTTGGGCTTTCAGAGCTTTTAAGTACTTACGTAATAATAATAATTTTTATTCTACATGTATCATAATATAAGCTGTAGGTATGTTTTCCTAATAAAGAAAAATAAAATAAAATAATGACTAGAAATGCCGCGAATGGAATACCGATTAAAATTGCCAGTCCCTATTGCTAATAGTCGAATACTCGTTATAAAAATTTATTAAATTATTCGATATAAAAATAATTTATTAGTTAAAAAATAATAATATACTTAGGTAACTAACCTAAGCTCTCACTATTAACTTTAACATGACTGATTTTAGCCTTACTTTTTTCTATTGACGAAAATAATAATTAATAATGGGCTTTTTTTTTTCAAGAAAATTAAAGCGATTATTTTAATTTCCAGATAAGACCACTGAAAACACAAGACAGTTGAGGAGGTCAGATGTTATGACATAATTAACGGTATAATGTTACGAACGAACGAACGATCTTTATCAAAGAAACATACAGCCTTATTTTAATTACATGTAGCTTTGTAAAATTGATGTTTTTTTTTACGTCTAAATACACATTTTCAGAGACTACATTGTTGATTGATTGACCAACTTCTTCAATCTATGCGCGAAATAAGAAATAAATAAGAAATTAGAACATTTTATTATAATTTCATATAAACAGTTGTGAAATAATAAGAATGAGAATTGTCCATCTCTGAAGAGTTTAATTAAAAGAAGTCTCAGCTTAATAAGACCAGTGATAATATTTTCTAGAACAAAAAAAAAATATCGTGAGATTTCCTAGAGAGTGAAAATAATAAAATACATTTTCCGCAAGCTCGCAATCATCTTTTTATGTTTTAGCGGATTACAGTTATGTTTCCTCTCTCATTACTTAATCAAAACCACGGCAGAGGGAATATAAATTGTGTGTTTCTATATGCAGATTCTAGATTCCTTGAGTTATGTGCTCTTTGTGCTAATGAAGCTACTTCGTTTGCAAAGCCATTGCCGATTTATTAATCCGTATTTTTATCAACATTATTTATTCGCATAACGTTCAGTAAACATTGATTCAAGTGAGTACCTAAACTTTGTTGTTACTTTATTGATTTTCCTTTGTTTTTATAGAGTTCTTTTTGATCTTCTTCTGTTTTATAGTTCTTTTTATATTTTGTGAATCCTTTTAAATTAATCTTCTTTTGTTTCTACTTTTGTAGTTTTTTCTTTTTTGTGAATCGAATCTCACATTCAATTTCAAATAACCAGATGAGACGTGCCGCTCGGACGAGTTCACATGCGGGAATGGCAAGTGCATCCAGCAGCGGTGGGTTTGCGACGGCGACGACGACTGTGGCGATGACAGCGACGAAGCCAAATGTCCGGCGCCGACTTGCCAGCCGACAACACACTTCTCATGCGAAGACGGGCATTGCATTTCGGCGTGGTGGCGGTGCGACGGCGATATAGACTGTCCCGATGCCAGCGACGAAAAGGTGGGTGATGAAATTACAAGTTACGTAGTTCAGCGACGATAGTGACGAGGCTAAGTGTCCGACACCGACTTGACCCACATCTACTTGGAGTATCTACGAGTCTACGCCCAAAATGAGCATAGTCCGTAACGAAAGACCGACTTTTTGACTATGTACTTTTGTACAATGCAACTCAAAAAGGAGTTGAGTTGCATTGTACTCAAATTAGAAATGTTACCTATAAAATAAATGAAAAACGTTATTTGTTGTGTTTCGTATTACGAAAAAAGTAGTCCCGGTTTCGCAAATTGCTGCCGGCGATTTCGTGTTGAGCCTTGAATATTTTTTGTTAGTACCTACTATCAATATTGAACAATATGTGACATTATTCGATAAAAGTCTACATCAGAGGCTACCGTTTGAAATGGAAAAACGTTAGTGTACAAAAAATGTTTTGCAATCGTCCAAAACTTTCCGTTCAATCAGCGAAAATATTGCAGATTGAAAATACTTCACTAGTTTTACCAGTTTTACGCAATCGTGTCACAAAATGTATTTTACGCTACTTAATTCCAGGGTTGTGCGACCACGCCGAAAGTGACATCACCATGCATATCATCTGAATTCGAGTGCAAGGACCGCATGACGTGCGTCCACAAGGCCTGGGTGTGCGATGGAGACCGGGACTGCCCGGACGGAGGTGACGAGGCTCCCGAGATATGCAGAGGGAACATAACGTGCAGACCAGACCAGTTCCAGTGTAAGGACCACAGCTGTATACCTGGTGCGCTGTACTGCAACGGCGATAAGGACTGCCCGGATGGCAGCGATGAGTTTAACTGCAGTAAGTACATTTTTGCGACTATGATTGACATGATTTTAAGTAGCGATTACTGGCCGGAAAACATACTGTGAGAGTAGGTACCTATTTGCAATCTTAAAGGTATGATTTTAGTGACGCGACTAACATGAGCAGTTCACTTTTGGAGTTTACATAATATTACCTAAGCTCTTTTCAGTTTTGGACATTGTTATTGTTATAATAAAATTAGAAGAACTAAACTTCAAAAATGTTTCTGTTTGTGGCGTCAGGGACCATTAGGCCCAGAACAGACGATGAAACGCAACTGCAACGAAACTGCAACTGCTAGTTACTTTTGAGTTGCATGCATCTAAGTTTCTGCCATAGCGTCCGTTGAGAGACCACACATGACGCGACCAGTTTGAAACTTTCAGTTTCAGTTTCATTCATAAGAATCATCAGAAAGTTGCAGTTTCGTTGCAGTTTTTTATTTTTTTATTATTGGTTTTTGGGCCTTTATTTGCGCCAANCAGAAGCGTCGCCAAGAGGCTCTTTTAGCTTTTCTGATTTGTTTGTTATATTCTGTTAGGGCCTTTCCGTACTTGTCCCAGTCGCACGGTTTGGCACGGTTGAATATACGACGTGTGATGGCTCTGAGCTTTTCTAGCTTCTTGTTCCACCACATTGGTGATTTGTTAGATTTTACTTCTTTTTCGGGGCAGCTTCGTTCGTAGGCATTGATTATGCCATTATTGAGCATTTTGACCGCGGCATTTAGAGAGTCCGGTGTTTTGATAGTTTTGGGTATATCCTTTAGATTCTCACTGAGCAGGGTTATATACATATCCCAGGAGGTGTCTTTTGGATTTCTTACTCTTGGATATTGAGCTTCTACCAGCCCTGAAATATCAAAACGTATATGTCTATGATCAGACATTGAGTTCGTTGCAGTTGCGTTTCACCGTCTGTTCTGGGCCTTACTTACACGTCAAACTGATTTTAATGAACACCTGCAAATTAATGTGAATTTTTCTTTATCTAAAATATCTTAATCGCCAGCTGAATTCAGCTGATGATTGACCGATTGGATTAATTTATTCATTTCCCTCGATAAGCTGTCTCTACAATGATTCATAGATACGTAAAACTATTATGATGTGATTAGCCGAATCACATCAGCTTAGTCAATAAATGTTTTTGTTTTATAATCGGCGTGACTTAGCTTATTTGAATTTTTCTGATTGCTAATTGCTTTAATCGACAATTATGACTACCAAATATTTAATTACTAACAACAACACCTGCACATTTACATTATCTATGACACTGATTTTATAATCTTAAATACAATTACATGGGTATTTTCGTCAAGTAATAGGTACTGTTTCCACTTACATGGGTATTTTGTTTTCGATAATATTTTAGATTTTTTAAGTGACGCAGTAAAAGTTGCAACTACTACTTAGGTAGTTACTCTAGTAACTCTAACTTTAGGGTCTACCTATAGACATTGGATCGACATTATTTTTTGTATAAATTGTTCATATTCTAGCCGACTGTATCTTTTCTTCATTCTGTACATACATACTATTCAAGTATTATCCCCAAAAAGCAAAGGAACGTCTCCTAAAACGATTACCTGTAACAACAACACACCTTTTCTTACAACTCTACCTAAAAACCCCAACAGAAACAAACGGAACTTCACTTCCTCATTATTCTTTACAGCGCGCCCGAAACCAGTTTGCGACAAGAAAACGGAGTTTGACTGCGGCGAAGGCATGTGCATCCCACTGTCCAAAGTTTGCGACAAGAAACCAGACTGTCCCAACTTCGAGGATGAGCCGCGGGACAAATGCGGCGAGAATGAATGTGAGAAGAACAACGGAGGATGCACACAGAGATGCGTGGACACCCCAGTCGGGTACTACTGTGACTGTGATAAGGGTTACAAGCTGACGGATAATAGGACTTGTGAAGGTATGTTGTTTGCACTACTCATCATCACCAATACTCAATATCAATAGGTTTTAATTATTTTTAATGGAATGAACATTTTGGGCCTAATAATCCAACTTAAAAAGATCGTGCGCTATTTAGGTGTGAGTGTGCCGCATTTCAATTATTTATTTTTATTTTACAGTAGACCAAGTAAATTAGCAAATTCGCTAATATTATTTTGGCTTATTTTCGGCTTTCCAAAAAACCCTACATCTTTTCCGAAAAACCTTGTAAAACTCCACGTAAATAAGTTCGGAGATCACCCAAATAAACAAAAAACAGAAATTTTCATTTTTATTCAATTTTTAACACCATGGGTATGTTAAATTTTATACAGTGTGTCCGGATAAGTACCTAGTGATCAAGGGCGTAGTGATAGGGACAAATTGAATACAAGAAAAACCAGGTCGTGAAAGTATTGTTGGGATTTCTACTAGCGAAGGACGAGTATTTTACTTAGAGTTTTGAACTTTTTCAGGAGCACAATGAAACAATACTTTTGACCGCAGCCATCTTTTTTTTTTATTTTCGATCATAGACAACAGAGTAACACCAAAATCCACACTTTGGCCATAGACACATAACGTTCAGAAATAATTAACTTTTAAATATTCAACACCCCCTCTCAATTTCAACTTTCGAAATTGTCTTACAGAAATCCTTAAAAATAATTACTTGTTAATTACACAGAGTTATAAAGTTGTTACACTAGATTGTTACTAAGTATTTACTTATTTAAATTATTTAAGTACTATGTTCTTACATAAACGTAATGTATGTATTTGAAAACTAACTATGAACTTTATCCATTATCCTTTTAAATAATGTATTTACTTACATTTTATACCAATACTTAAATATTTTATCTTACATATTTAGTCAGATCTTATGTTAAACTATTATTTTCTTAAGTCTGTATTATTTATTACATGATATTTAACTAATACATCATTAGGTAAGCTTATGACACAACTTATTTATATTGTTACATTTAATTTACTTTAGTTAAACATTTACCTTAGTTATAATATGTACTTTTACTGCAATAGTCAATAGATTGTTATTAAATTTAATCAAGAGTTTATGAAAATACAAAATATTTATTTAGTATCTTTAAATTTTACAAAAATACTTGTTTTAAACAAAACCACTACTCCAATCACGGACTTTACAANATTGAGTTAAAAAAACCTGAATAGATAATGAGTTGCTCGTTATGTGTGATTTACTTAATTGAAAATATGGACTTAAGATTTTATTTTGATAAATATTTTCGTAATTGTAATTCAGCTGAGGTTATTACACATATTACAGCATTATACACCACTTAATTACATTTAATTTGATACCCCACACATGCAAATAAGGTTGTTAGAACTAGAATAAAGACAATTTTTAAAATGTTACCCTAAGAGAATGGACTATTTTATTTTGTAATCACCATTCCCGATAGTTTTGTGGAAAAAAAGAACTTTTCTTTGCAAAAACTTAGTTTGATTTTATAAGTTAACGTTTAATTTTGCAGGATTCGAAAAATACAGATGTGGATAGTGCTAGCCTAAAAAGCAGTTATATGAAAAAGTTTAGTAATTAACTGCCATTAAGTTATGCATAACTGTATTAAAAGTTGTTAAAAAATTTTGGAAGAGCAGTTAAGCGATATCTACTTGGCTAAAAGGCGGTTATGTGTAATTAGCTGCTTTTTTGTTATGGATATGTTAATAACTTCCTGTTTTTTTCTGGCAGTTATTAATAAATCCATAACTTAAAAGCAGTCATGATTCTTTAGCCGCCATTTAGTTCTGCACACTTGAAGCAAGCCTTAAAATTTTACAAGGTTAGAAAGGAAAATGTGTATTTATTGAATTAATTATTAATATTTTACAAAATCAACTTACTTCATAGGAAAGTTGAAAAAAATACCTTTTTTTTGGTATATGACAACATGACAAAATGTTTATAGATACTGAGCAGCATCGGTTTGAAAATATTGCCGCTTTTTTCTGCTCTAGCTCAAAATTAGATTTTGTCATTTAGCGGCCTTTTAGCTTATAGACGGCAGTAGTGGTAGTGTAACAAATGACAATATGAGGGTAGTTGAAAATCTTCAAGCCCGCCCGAACGGACGACGCCGCGAACCGCCAGTCTGCTTGTGACCACGGCTGTAGCATCGCAGCCGAAACGTCAAGCCGTGAGTACATAATGTAACTCATTAATAAACGTCGCGTTAAGACCCGTGTCTTACTATTTTATTGTGGTGAACCCCACTTTTCAACCCCCAAAATTCTAATTGTCCATTACTTTTATTACAATCTCCTTGTTTTAACTTCACATTATTTCATGGCGAAATAATGTGAAGTTAAAACACACCTCTATACGATTTTGTTTCAACTTCATAACTCTGCTATTAATTCATTAACTATACTGGCTATTGCTAAACAAGTAACAATCCTGTACCTAATATCGGTTTCTTCACTTACATAACCCTGCAAACAATGTTATTGGTTTATCTAGACTTTAATTAACACACCATAGTTTAGCAAACTGAGCGGGAAGTCTAATGTTTGCGTCTGGAACAACATCAATAAAGTCGGGGTCGCTGGCATCGTTCACTATGTACCCAGGCAGTCGTATTATTTTTTATTATGTTTGATAAACACACTGTCTTATTTATTACAATCTATCTATATATATAAAAGCGAAAGGTCACTGACTCACTCTCTCAGCACGAAATCTCAGAAACTACAAGTGCTATGCTAGGAGTTTAAATTTTTGCATCGGGGATCCTTTTAGAACGTAAGTTTAACTAAGACGGGAATTTACAAAATTCAACCCCTAAGCGGGTAAAACGGGATTCACGCGTACGAAGTCACGGGAGGGCCGCCAGTATGTTTATAAAATTAACAACTTTACAGAACGGCGAGAAAACAGGCCCGGAATCTTGACCATGTAACTATTTGGTTAAAGGTGACCAGCCCATACCCATAAATGTTGCCCCGAAATGGTGGTAGGGCAAGCTATATTAGGGACGTGTGTAAGTGCTCAGAAAAGGGCCTACATATTAATTATTTTGATTGAATTTAGTAGATACCATTCTGTTCTGTTAACCCAGATGAGCCTGAAACTATTTTTACTTTAGAATTTTGACATTTTTGGATATACGGTTTATTATGATCCCAGTACCCTACGAAAAATAATTAAAAAAATTAGTCACCCCCGGGAAAGCGGGAAAATGATGACCCATACATGGGTCGGTCGGCACAAATACTGCATTTTACTTACCTGTTAAGATCAATAAATAGATATTAAAATAAAACACTTTTTATCAATGAAACATGTATGTATTAGTTTGAAAACGTATTTTTATTTATTTTATGATAATTATGTTAGTCTGTAACAGTATTTTTATATTGTGTGATAGTTAAAAAAACATTCTTCAGGATGTAAATGTATGTTGCACTTCACACAAATGTAATTACATTTTTTTTACATATTTTGCATTTTAGAATCTTACTGACATAGTTGATTAGATGACCTGTTTGATCGTATCTTGAATCTCCAAGGTGGCAGGTACAGGGCAAGGCCCACGTTTTTCACACCTTTTGAAAGTTTCTAACTTCAAAATATTATAAACGCTGATTTTGGTGAAATTTTGTATTTTTCTATACACGTCAAAATCTAGAAAACCACACGTAGGAAATCAACAAATTTGCTACTAAAGCAACCAGGATAAGGTCCTCAATCAAAAACTATATACAGTTCCTTGGCACCAAAACCACTGTTGACCATAATAATTCCAATGCCAGGGAAATATATATTTTTATTCACACACCAAAGTGGCAATGAACTGCAACAATATTTACTTATTTTTCAGAAGTTGTTATATGTTATTTTTTTATTTATTTAAACTTTTATGCCAAAATAAATTTGAACATAAGGCGTTGTATTTTTATTCAAACATGTTAGTATTTTTATTTATTTTCTTTTTTAAGAAAACATAAATACAAGTATGACTACTATTGACAGCACAGTAAATTACATGTAACATTCGTTTATTTTGTAACAGAATAGCACCTTTTAGATCTGCAAGATGCTGCAGTGTTTGCTTCGTTATACCTTAGTGGCACGTGATTAATTAAAAATACAATTTTTTTAAGGATGTTTGAATGATTGTTCATTTTCCGAGAAAAACTTCTGAGGGATCTAAATAAAAATTTTGAGGAGGTGAAGTCTGCATTTTACTTATAAGGCTACAAAATTATGAAATTTAATTTTATACTTCGGACGATTAAAGCCGCGGCCGTCCAATTAAATTATCCAATAACGTATTTTATTAAATAATCAAATCACAAATTTATCTAACCTACAATGTCTTATACTGTTTGGGTAAATTTACTGATTGCTATATCAGACTTAATTGGCAATCCAATACAAGAGATCCGTGATATCTTACAACCAAAGTTTTCCTCTCATTAATTATGAAATAAACAAGAACATCGAAAGTCCGTAACTTTTTAATTAGTTTTATTTGGTAGGTCTCCCTGGAAACTTTTCACTTGCTAACACATTTATGGCTTCAAGTACTTCCATTAGAGGAAATAGGGCAATTCAAATTAATCTTAATTAAATACATTTCAATTTGAAAAGATTTCTGATTCTCAGAACTTTATGAAGACGAATTTCATTCCCACTCATATTTCCAATTCGTCAGTGAAGTTTTAACAGTGCGTAAGTCATTTTTGGCGGTTTTAACATTTTGATGGCGTTGGATGAAGAAGGATCGCGTGCTTGTTCCGACCAATCTCCTGTGAAATGCATATTTTTGACTTACGCCAGAGTAAATATAAATGAATAGGTCATCTTCATAGAAACGCCCGAGCGCGGCGCGGCCTACTCATTTGTATTTACTCTGCTTACGCACTGTTAAAACTTGACTGACGATTTGTAGGTTGTTAATATTATCATCAGAATGACGTCAG